TGGAAGCTCATGTGTATTTATTTCTTAACTTTAAAAATCTGTTTTAATTAGTTATACATGACAGCAGAATGCATTTATGCACTTTGATATACATAGATAGGATATATTCTCATTTTTCTGAGTGAACCTGTTATAGAATCACATTGAGCATACAGTCACATATGTACATAAAGTAATAATGTCTATTTTGTTCTACTATCCTCCCTATCCCTACATCCCCTCCCCTCCACTTCCCTCTACCTAATTTAAGGTAATGCTGTTCTTCTCTAGTACCCCCCGCACCCCCGCCTTATTGTGAATTAGCAGCCGCATATTAGAAAAAACATTTGGCCTTTGGTTAGTTGAAATTGGCTTATTTTGCTTAGCATGATATTTTCCTCCATCCATTTACCGGTAAATGCCATAATTTCATTCTTCTTCAAGACTGAGTAATAATTCATTGAGTACATATACCACATTTTCTTTACCATTCATCTATTGAAGGACACCTAGTTTGGTTCCATAGTTTAGCTATTATGAATTGAGCTGCTATAAACATCGATGTGGCTGCATTACTGCAGTATGCTGATTTTAAGTCCTTTGCATATAAACCAAGGATGTGTATTTATTTATTTATTTAATATTTATTTTTTAGTTGTACACAAACCTTTATTTTGTTTATTTTTATGTGGTATTGGGGATTGAACCCAGGGCCTCACGCATGCTAGGCGAGCACTCGACAGCTGAGCCACAACGCCAGCCCAGGATGTGTATTTATTTTTAATAGTCATTTGAAAATACTTGTGTCTGTATAAAACTGCTTCAAATTCCTTAACTTGATAGTGGCAAAATAAGACATAAAATTCAGCATTTTAGTCATCACTATGTCTGCATTCCAGTGGCGTCAACTACATTCACCATGTTGTGAAACCATCGTCTCTATCCATTTCCAGAACTTTCCCATCATCTCAAATGAAACTCTGTGCCCCTCAGATGATGGCTCACAGCTCCCCCATCCCCACCCCTGACAGCTTCTATTCTGAGCTCCCTGTCTATGAAACAGCCTGGTCTAGGTACCTACGATAAGTGGAATTCTACACTCTTTGTCCTTTTGGGCCTTAGCATGTTTTCAAAGTTCATCCACGTTGTAGCAAAGTCAGAATTTCATTCCTTTTTACTGGAATTCTTTTGTAAGAAGCTCTGGTGTCGCCTTGAATAATAAACTAACACAGAAAATATGCCCTGAACTCTAGGATACTCTGTGTTTGGGCTTTAAGATCCTGGGACAGCTGGGCACGGTGGCACTGCCTGTAATCCCAGCGACTCGGGCGCGAGGCGGGGGGGAGGCTGAGGCAGGAGGATCAAAAGTTCAAAGCCAGCCTCAGCAACTTAGTGAGGCCCTAAGCAACTTGGCGAGACCCTGTCTCAATATTAAAAAAATTTAAAAACAGGCTGGGAATGAAAGATCCTGGCACAACTCCTTGGTGGGATGCACCACCCTCCCTGGGTCTGCAGAGGCCCTGGTTGCCACCTTGTGTGACTGGTACTCCTTGTGCAGACAGAAGACATTTCTGAATAATTCGGATCTTGATTTTGCTCACAGTGATGCAGACTTGCTGAGGGGGCCTTAGGTGGGGCTCCCCTGTAGGACACACAACTAGTAGACAGTTTGCTCTTCTAATGTTTATAGGGATGGTGGCCCACGGGTAGGGCCAGAAAGTGCAGGTTGCTTGAGAGCTTTACTATCTCAATCCAGAATCATGCTGCCTACAGTTTCATCTCATTGATTTTTCCAAATAAGGGCACTCCCGTGTTGTATATAAGCCAGAACAGTCTTAAGTCATGTTCCTCCAGCTCATAATATCCAGCAAAGTCCATGTCGCTGTTTAGGATAAATTCCTTTCTTTATTCATAAAAAGTTAAGTGAAATCCATTGACTTCTGATTTATGTTGTTTGCACAGTTTTCCTAAATAAAAACGAAAGAAACGATCAGCCTTCTTTTGTCTCTTTAGATTAAAACTTTGGAACAGACCAAAACCATCGAAGACTTAAATAAATCCAGAGACCAGCTGGAGAAGATGAGGGAGAAAGCGGAGAAGCAGCTCGCGACGGTCAGGGCAGAACTGGACACGGCGGGGCGGGAGGCCAAGGAGGGTAAGGAAAGGGCCAGACACATGCTGGAAGCAGTGACCAGCGAGATGAAGACTCTGAGGAGATCTCTGGAGGACGCAGAAAAGAGAGAAAAGCAGGTAGGCACAACCGCTTTTTTAGGAAATCCTGTGGGGACACAGGGGGACAGACTGTCACCCTGGCGCAGGGGCCATGCTCCTCTTCTCAGTGTGATTCCAATTTGGTGGTGTGTGCTGCCAAAGACCACGGTATTCGCACGTTTCTTCAAAACCACTTTGTCAAGCTTTCTATATCATTCCAACCCATCCTCCTGCATCCTTTCGGCATCCCAATGACCATGAGGAATTGTCATGATTTGCAGTTCACGGTGGCCTGGCAAGGACTGTAGGAAATAAAGACAGGCTCTTATCCCAGCGGTGACAAGCCGGTGAGAGCCCAGGTTCTGGTTGTGGCAAGGTCGTTTATTGTGTCTGGTGATGACCTCTGCACCCTTCCGGTCCCTGAACATCAGCAGGGCTTGGAGACCTGGGGAAGAGGCCTCATCCCTGGAAGAGATCAGTGGCAGGAAATAGCCTCCAGTCTCAAACAGTGGCACCCAGACTTGTGAGTCCACCCAGCACAGATGTAAGCCATAAAAACCAACTCATGGCTGGCTGGCTGCAGGAGGAACGTTTTATCTGGTGAGCACATCAGGTCAGGCATAAAGAAATATGTCCCGGGCAGCCTGACCCCCACTGCCTCTGGCTTTCATGTCACTCTCTTTCTGGAGCTCAAAAGGGCAGAGAGTGGACTCTGGTCCTAGGATTTTTTTTTTTTTTTCTCTCCCCTGCTCTTTGGCTGCCTCTGCTTTGGCTCAGATGTCAGACAGTTTGGGAAAGCCAAACCGTGAGAGCAAATGGACTCGGGGGAAACATCCTGGGAATTAAGAGCTCTGATCACATTCAAAAGGGTGGATGGAGGTTTGAGGAAAACCTCTTCATCTGGGAGAGAGGCCAGGGCCTCAGTCTGCTGAGGTGCTGTGCGCCCAGGCTGTCCACTGGGTGGCTGGTAAGCAAGACTGTTCCTCCTTACAGTTCTGGAGGCTGGTCCAGGTGCTGGTACAGGGAGCATCTGGTTCCTAGACGGTGTCTTCTCTCTGTGTCTTCACATGGTGGAAGGGACAAGGTAGCTCTCTGGGGACTGTTTTATGAGGGCGCTAATCCTGTCCTGGGGACTCCACCATTATGATCTCATCGAAACCTAATTAACTCCCACCCAATTATCTCCACCTCCTGATACCATCAGATTGGTGATTTTGTGTGTTTGTGTGTGTGTGTGTGTGTGTGTGTGTGTATGTGTGCGCACACGCGCATGCAAACAGTTCTACCATAACAGGTAGAGAGGATGTTGCATTTCCCAAATTGGACTCTGCATGGGAAGGTGGTTGGGAAGCAATGGGCCCTGGGCAGGCTGTATGGATGGTGTTTTTCTAATGTGATCTATGTTCTGGTTGGATCACAGCTTTTCTAAAATGGAAGGGAGCTTTAATGAGGTATTGTCCAGTAGCCCTCATTCACCTGTTCTGCATTGTCTTAGAACAAGAGAAAGCAGCCTAGGAGAATTTGAAGGGGTATAGGAAGCATATTTCAGCCATTGTTCCTGGTCTCCCATTTCCCCTTTCTCAATGGACAAGTAATCCCACACCAGCCCAGTGATATGGTTTGAGGTGGCAATCTCTGTGATGTGATATGATACTAATTTAGAAGCCCTCCTGCTTTCTTGCTTTGTTCTTTTAGTTTAAGAAATTCATTGTCCAGTTCACATTCCAATGCACATTTATCATCCGTTGACACTATGATACCAACATCTGTATATTTCCAGCTCTGTATTTCTACTGTGCAGAGCACATACATAATTATCATTTCATTTGTTCTGAATTTCAGAGCAAGTAAGTATATGGAGAAGAGAAAATGAAGCCTTAGGTCAGAGTCTCATTTATGGCTTCTCAACTGGAATTCTGAGTAGCTAATCAATTTGCTCATCAGAAAAGTGGCTATGAGAATTGCTAAAGGGAGACCCTTGAAGAGACTTTAGAAGTCATTAGCAGGCAAGCCAACTTATTTTTATAAGGCTAAAGTGGGTAGGTAATTGACCTACCTTGTGCAGACCTAAGTTTTCCAGGTTTTATTATTTATCTTTTTGCTTTTGGTTGCACTTGACCCAGCAACAGTGGAGACTTTTTGTTCTCCCAGTTAATGTGTTTCTGTTTGATGTTGCAGCTGGCGGACTTCAGGGAGGTAGTTTCCCAGATGCTGGGCTTGAACATGACCGCTCTTGCTCTTCCTGACTATGAGATCATCAAGTGTCTTGAAAGACTGATCCATTTACATCAGCATCGCCTTGTTTCCTGTGCCTGCCTCAAAGACATGACTTCTGGGCAAGACAGGCACCCGCAAGGGCATTTAAAACTTCTTCATTGAATGCTGGTCTCCAGAGGGAGGTGGAACTAAGACAGCACAATTCCTACTTTCATAAATTCCCCAGATCTGTGAGATGTGAGCAGCATGTGAATATGGTATGCTTTAATGGCCTAGCGAGGTTGCATCACTGGCAGAAAAGGTCTCAAAGGTGCCAGCCCTCGACAAATGTTTAGCACTGAAAACACCTATTATTCCACTTGCTAACACTTTGAGACTCAGAATTATTCCATTACATTGCAATCTAGACTGAGAGATGGGAGTAGAGAATTAACATTGATGGGGTATCTTTTTTCAGCTGGGGGTTCACTAGCCATTTTAATTCCATAATAACCATATGGAGAAGCTTTCTTAAAGAGGGCCTCTAGAGACTGCATGCTATGGCTTCTACTTTGGAGCCCCTTTTCTGCTGAGTAGAGGAAGCAGTTTCTCTGTGTCCCTGGAGAAGATCCCCATGAATGCAGTCATGGATACGTGTGTGTGTGTGTGCGCGCGTGCGCGCACACATATGGGAGGGCTCTTTTTGTACATTTTCTCTGTTTTCCACACATAATTTCTAACAAATTTTATTTATCTTCTTTATAAATTTATTTTCTACAGCATTCAAAGATATCTTAAATAGTACTTAAAAACATAAATGTGTTTCTGAGATTGATTTATTACTAATTATATAACAAGATTCATGTAAGAGGCTAAAAATAGTCTATAGTGGGAAGTACTATACTTTCTCAGTAGTATATGAAATCATACTCCATTTACCTAAATATGTTTATGTAGGATTTCTACTGTATGACTCAGTGTATATACAATAATGTTTAATATAAAAGGAAAACATGTTCAAACCTAAGCTTTAGAGACTTTTAGTGGAAAGGGTATATAGAATAAGAAAAAGAAATCCTGACTATGCATACGGTTCATATAATGGTTGGACAAATTGCAAACCTGCTAGGAAAGCCATTTCCTCCTTGTTACGATGGCATTGGCTGTGGCCTCTCCCTCGGTGGCCCTCATTCCAGAGTTGGCAAGCCAGCTTCATGTTTTTATGTTCCATTTGTTGGCCTGTAATATCCATGTATATTTTATGTTGTCCAATAAAATGCATTAGATTGATGTGATTTTTTTAGATGAGGCCTTAAAATATTTAAAACTAACTCTTCAACCAAATACACTTGAGTGAAATTGCTACTGGGGTATTCATTCTGGTCACTGAGACCTCTAAGTATCTGCATAAAGTTCCTCAGGAGGAAAATGTGAACCCGATCTGTCTAAATTTCCAGTTTTACCTTATAGTCCATTTTACAGGAAGAATAGTAAGCAACTCTATCCCCTGAAGAGCTGTTGGAGATTCTGTAGTACTGCTATGGTGAATGCTTGGGACACAGAAGTGGGGTCTAGTTTTCACTGGGGCAGCGCTCCATGGTCATGTAATCTGTTACTTATACACCAGTGACCTTGTCTTATCCATGTTACTGCACTCTGCTCTCAGGTTCTCATCAGCAAGTATAGTCTGGGTACTTCTCTTTCCCCTCTATGTCTTCCATCCCATTACTCTATGTAGTATAAAAATCATTGCTCAATCAAAAGTTCTCTACAATTTTCATCTCACTCCAGTCAGAATGGCAGCTATCAAGAATACAAACAACAATAAGTGTTGGTGAGGATGTATCGGGAAAGGTACACTCATACATTACTGGTGGGACTGCAAATTGGTGCAACCACTATGGAAAGCAGTATGGAGATTCTTCGGAAAACTTGGAATGGAGCCAGCGTTTGACCCAGCTATCCCACTCTTTGGACTTAAAAGGACTTAAAATCAGCAAACTATGGTGACACAGACATCAATGTTTATAGCAGTTTAATTCACAATTGCTAAACTATGGAACCAATGACCTCTCTTCAACAGATGAATAGATAAAGAAAATGTGGACATAATGGAATATTACTCAGTCTTAAAAGAAGAACGAAATTATGGCATTTGCAGGTAAATGTATGGAGCTGGTGAAATCATACTAAGCAAAATAAGCCAATCCCAAAGAACCAAAGGCTGAATGTTTTCTCTAAATGTGGATGCTAATTCACAATAAGCAGACAGGGCTAGGGAAGAATAGAGGTACTTTGTTTTGGGCAAAAGGGAGTGAAGGAAGGGGAGGGGCTATGGGAGTAGGAAGGATAGTAGAATGAATTGGACATTATTACCCTATGTGTGTATATGATTACATGACTGGTGTGATGCTACACCATGTACAACCAGAAGAATGAGAAGTGATACTCTGTATATGTCTGACGTGTCAAATGCATTCTACTGTCATGTATAACTAATTAGAACAAATTTTAAAAAACCGTTGCTCTTTGGAAGCTCCCGCTAACTGCTGTATAATTTTCATTTGTCTTTATTGTTTTACCTAGTAATATGCTAACTATTCTCCCAACTTAAGATTTTTTTAATAAAATAGTTCCAAAGTGTCTTCTCCACCCTGCTGAGTGCTGTCTTGTCTTCATCCTGGCTAGCATTACTGTTCACAAGGTCACCTATGCAACCTTGTATCTGTGGTCTCTGGGTCTTCTCAGCTCTCATATCTTTCCTTCCTATTTAGTCAGCTCTTTTACTACTGTGACTAAAAGACCCGACCAGAACAGCTGTAGAGAAGGAAAGTTCATTTGAGGGCTCATGCCTTCAGAGGTCTCAGTCCATAGAAGGCTGGCTTCATTCCTTGGGGCTCATTGCTTCCTTGGAGCAGAACATCATGGTGGAAGAGTGGGCAGAGGGAGGCAGCTCACATAAGCAAAGAGAGAGAGAGATCTCTACTTGCCAGATACAAATATAGTTCCCAAAGTCATGCCCCCAACGCCCACCCCCTCAGCCACACCTCACCTGCCTTCCGCCACCACTCCATTAATCCCATCAGGTGATCGATTCACTGATTGGGTTAAAGTTTTCATGACCTAATGGTTTTTTTTTTTCTCTGAACTTTCTTGCACTGTCTCACCTGTGAGCTTTTGGGGGATACCACATCCAAACCATAACACCTCTTTTTGTTTCAGCCACTCACACCTTAGACTGCAGTCTGTAGGAGTGCAATTTAGACCACCTGAAGGTGAAAAAAGAACTTTTGAGGGCTCATTTGAAAGATTCAGCTTCAGCTGGGTAGATTGAGGGATTCAAAACTTTTATCTAGATTCTTTTTGCTCCTCTTCACCTCTCATCTCTGTCATTGGCTTGTCTTTTCCTGTTGGTCTCATTTTCTCCACGCTGACAGGAAAGACGGGCCTTCCAACGGTGTTAGTTCTTTCGTCACTGTGGCAAAATACCTGAGGAAAAACACTTAAAGGAGCACATATTTATTGGCTCATAGTTCCACAGGTTTGGGCCCATGGTCCACTGGCCCATTGTTTTGGCCTGAGGAAAGGTAGAACGTCATGGTGGAAGGGTGTAGTGAAGGTGACCTGCGCACCCCATGGCAGAGAGCAGGAGACTGGGGACAAAAGTACTCTTCTAGGAATGTCTTTAGTGACCTGTTTTGTCTAACTGAGCCTCACCTCCTAATATGAACTAATCAACAGATTTATCCATCAGTGGGGTTAGAACCCTCGTGAGCCAATGTGCAGCACTTCTACACATGAGCTTTTGGGGACCTTTTAGATCCAAACCATAATAATAATAATCCCTGAGCTGAGAAAAAGGACTTGTCTCCAAGCATCTGTGTGGGAGATCTTACAGAGGAGCCATCTCTTCTTGCCATGTAACCATCCCTGACCCCTGACCGGAGCCAGGGGATGAACCCACCTGCCTACAACTCATGCCAACCCTGCAGTGAGGCCGGGCAGGGTGAGGCGTACGATGAACTGTTCAACCAGGACCACCCGTAATGACAGATGTTGCCCGCGAGCGCACACGCGCACACACACACAAACTCACAAACGCCCCACGCACATCAGAACCTCCCAGTGACCTCGTTCAGCTCTGAAATCTTAAAAAAACGTGGTTATTAACACGTATTAATTGTACACTTTAGTGGGATTCAGTGTGACTCTTCCGACATTCCCACATAGGCACACAGCCTGCTGTGATTGAAATTGTAAGTCAAAATCTCCACCAACTTTCTTCCTCCCAGACTTTTACGTCCCACTCCCACAGAGCCTTTGAGTTTCCTTGGTCCTCCTATTTTCTCCCTCCTTGCCCTGCCAATCTTCAGTCCATCTGGAGCCACCTAGAGATGATGGCCCATTTCTGCAATCATTCTCTTCCTAATACCTTCAACTTCCTGTTCCCCGGCCTTTCTGTCCTCAACTTTGAAATAATCCCAACTACCAATGTTTCTGCTGCTTTTTCCTGCCCCCATTGAATGAGGCTGGAGAAAATCACATGAAATCACAGCTAAGTGGCATCCCAAATTCATGACCTCGGGCCCCACCGAGCCCTCTGTGCTGCCTGGTAATACTGCCGTGTTTTCCTGGTTAGCTCTTACTGCCCATTTTCCAAAACGACTATTGCAAATATTCTTGTCTTGCTCAAAGCTCTTATCCTCTCTCTTCCCTGTCAGTGGATAATCTCGTCTGTGATTTCACTCAGTGAATAGAAGCCATTACAGGAAACACCTTCACTTCTGCACCCTCCTACAGCCTTCTGTGTCCACACCCATCCTCCCTCTCCCCCTCTCGGCTTATTTCCTCTGTCAGGGCACTAGAGTCCCCGGCAACTTATCCCATCAATTATTTTCGTCTCTTTTCAATATTTTCATCCTTACCTTTGTTAGTAGCTTAATTCCATCAGCCTTAAAATATGTTCAAATCTCTCTTATCTTGAAAAATCACTCCCTCCATTCATGACAGTTCTTCAAGCCTTGCCTCCGTCGTCTTCTTTATATAGTCAAGCCCCTTGAAATTGTCCATTACATTTCTATCTTTCTGTCTCAACTCCCAGTCATTACCTTCTCCCTGCAACCTGGCCCTGTCTCTGCTCTTTGGTTAACAAAGCTTTGCTTTTTAAAGTGCTTGTCTAACTTGAACTTTCTGCAACATGCGGCCCTATAGACCATTTCCTTCTTGAAACGTTCTTTTCCGTGGGGTTTCCATGAAGTGACCTGCAACTTGTTTTTCTTCTACCTCTCTAGGTGCTTGAGTTAGATACGTTTCAGTTTGTAAGAAACAAAAATGAAACGAGAGATTCATGTAAGGAAAAGTGGGTACACGGGTGAGTGAGATCCTTGACTGCAAAGTCAGAACTCAGTGGAGAGCAATCGGACATCCCGGGGACAGAACTGGAGGGCCCCGTGCAGGGCACAGGGTGACTCTTTGGAATCTCTTATCCACCCCACAGTGCCAGGTTTCCTTTGGTTCCTTGATGTGACTCAGCTTTATGCCTCTGCTTTGACAGCTTCAGCACCCATTCCTGGTCCCGTTCCCCTGTGGTCACGGAGTGGGGTCTTGCTCGGGTCTGTTGTTATGTGAATGTTTCATGGGTGCTTATTCTAGGCTTCCTTTTCTCACATTTCATAATCTTTTCAATGCATCAGCTTCATAACCTCAGGCAGGTTACTTATTTCTTTGTGCCTTGGTTTCCTTATCTGTAAGACAGAGGTTAATTTTTTTTGGTGTCCCCCCAAAAGCTCCTGTGTTAATGCAGGAATGTTTAAAATGAAATGTGAATTGATTGGACTGTGGGAGTTGCAGCCTCAGCTGGGTGATCACTGCAGGCAGGAGGGGCGTGGCTGGAGGAGGTGGGTCACTGGATGCATGGCCTGGAAGGGAGCAGCTTCTCTGGAGCCCCTTCCCCTCCCTGTCTTGGATTCCTGGGTGCCATGAAGGGAGCAGCTCTCCTCCATCATGCCCTTCCACCAGGATGCTGTGCCTCACCTTGGACCCAGAGCACTGGACTCAGCACATGGACTGAAACTTTTGAGCCAAAATGAACTTTTCCACCTCTGAGTTGATCTTGCTGGGTATTTTGGTCACAGAGGTGGGAAGCTAACAACAGATGTTGAGGTCCTAAGTTTGAGTTTCTGTGAACATAACCTCATTTGGAAAAAAGGTCTTTGCAGATAAGCAAGTAAGATGAGGTCATTATGGTGATCCCTAATCCAATATGACGGTGTCTTAATAAAGTGGAAATCTGGACACAGACA